ACAAAATCGTAGCAGAAATCAATATGATATTTTCGGCAATGAAGCCAGTAGCCACTACAGAACATATAACATACATGAAATTATAAAAGTGTGTGTCGAGTTTCCATGGCTTGGGTTCACTATGGTTATTTAGCATTTACATGGAAATAATACCATGAATATGGAGCTCAATTTTGCAGGTTCCTTTGGCATCTTTGCTTCTGAGCCCACATGCTTCTGACCTTGGGTCACTGAATCCAGAAATAAAGATCAGCTGTCTACTGCCCTCAGTGTCTACCAGTGGTCTTTACAGCTAGGTTTCACAACCAAGTAATATGCAAATTTTGTGAGGGGCTTAGAAGAAGGTAACCGAACTGTCATTTTGAGCTAACCTAGTCCCTCCATGCTTTAAATATCAGTTTTCTGATCCGTACATGAGATCAACATCTTTCGCTTTCTGTGGCTTAATTAATAAATCACATATGGGGAAACCTGGGTCCATGGTGGACAATTGCTAGAATCATGAGGAAAAGAGGAAAGGTAGGAGAAAAAAAAGCAACATAAATACAAATTGGAATCTATGCTCTTCTTTACAAACAGCCCCAGGAAGGAAAAACTTTTGTTTTTCTCAAACTAACCAAGAAAAACTTGGCCAAAGGGAGGGCCTGAGAATTAGGATTGGAAGGATAATGAGTGACTGTGGAAATAATCCTCGTTAACGTGCATGGAGGGAGTACTGCATGTCATTTTAAGCACCTTGAAGATACGTAAAGCATCTTAAAAACAGTCACAGCCATCTACTGGGTGGGCAATATCTCTCACACAGGACTGGTTGTGACACCCTGCCCTATGGAGTTCAGAGACGCTCTATGGAAGAGAACATAATATCTCTATCTTACGGGTAGATTGTGTCACTCTAATGGGTATGTTGCAACATCATTCCCTGCTTATAGCTGATGGAGCGCTGACAGAAAAGTGAATGGCCAGCTACACTTTGTTTGGTGGCCCTGGGACTTGAGTATAGGCAGTCAGACTGCCCAGCCCTTATTTCTCACATGGTGCTATTTAGACAAGGCCATGGCAGCTTCTTAATTCTCTTACCCAGAGATGTCGCTAACAGAAGGCAACCACAGGATAACAATGCAGATAGAAATCCAGTAAGTCGTTTTATGGATGCAACATTAGCCCCAGCAGCACAAGTGATTTAGCTATGACCTAAAGGATGTGGCCTAGACGCCACAGCCCAAGGAAATAGGTTTCTCGTGTCTCTTCTGGGGCACTGTCCACACCATCTTTTCAATAAGCGAACCAAGATATTTCTGTACTGTATGCAGTTAAACATCATCCCACAACCTTGCCCAGGTATGCTGTATAATGAATTGGGGAATAATTTTGACTCTTACAAGATTCATGCAAAAGATGCTGTACTGGAAAGGTCAAAAAGAAGGAACCCGCAAGGTAGCGTTAGATCGCAGAACTCCAGTCCATCTTTTGAAAAATAGATAAGAACATATAACCTCCTGAGTTGGACTAAATTCTAAGTGATGCAGAAAGTGTGCAGGAGACAGGAAGGGACATGGAAATGTACATATACTGAAATGGGGTCATTGGTGAATTCCCTCAACCGCCAAACACCATCGGTGATGGGAGAGAGCCTTAAAGCTTCACCCTTTAGAACTGAGAGATGATCATAGCAATTCCTTACCCTTTCACTTGATTTAGTAACCTTCTCTTTATACGTCAGTTAGAGATTTGGTCAGTGCTAAGATATTTTAAAGCACAGCGGTAGGGCGTTCGCCTTACACGCGGCCAACATGGCCGACCCAAGTTCGATTCCTCCGCCCCTCTCGGAGAGCCCGGCAAGCTACCGAGAGTATTCGATATGCCAGACACTGTAACAACAAAGTCTCCAATGGAGACGTTACTGGGCCCGCTCGAGCAAATCGACGATCAATGGGAGGGCCTTTACCTTTTACCTTTATGTTCTGGGAGCCACAGTTGGAACACCGCCCCCAGGTGCACGTGAGAGCCAGTGCACAGGGCCCAGGCGGGCAGCTTGGGTGGCAGGAGGCCAGAGGGAAGTCCTCAAGACAGGCCCCAAACATCCCACATGCACCCCGGGGGAACAATGGTCCTGATCCTCACGGCAGAGAGCCACCGAGAGAGAGCGTCTCCTGCCTCCACGCCTGGCTGTCCTCACTAGGGCCCCTTGGAGGAGGGCAGGTGGGATTCCCTCCCCACCCCGAGCAAAGCCCTGGCAGCCGAAGACCTCCGGTTCCAGCCACAGCCATGCTTAAGACCACTCTCCACACACTAGGACCAGCCTCACATATGAAGGAACTGGCAGAGGAACCCAGGTGGGCGGGACCCGGGGCATAGATCTCTAAACCTGCTGGGATTGGGACTGGGCCTCCTCCACCCAGATCCCCCATCTTCCAGCATGTAGATGTTACACCCACCAACTGTCCCTGGCGCCGTGTAATCCCATCAACGGCCAAGACCCAGAGACTATAAAATCCAGCTCCCATCTTATTATCTAGTTCTTACTCTGAAGAACCTGGCAGGCTAACCAAAAGTGTCTTGCCCACACGGCAGAGTCTGGCAAACTCCCCGTGGCGTATTCAATATGCCAAAAACCAGTAACAATGATGGGTCTCATTCTCCTGATCCTGAAAGAACCTAGAATGTGGCACTTTCTAAAATCTCAGGGCTAGGATAAAGAAGACATTACTGGTGCCTGCTCAAGGAAATCAATGAACAACAGGATGACAGTGATACAGTTCTAGAAGGATGGAAGGGTTGGGGGAGGAAGACACTCCAAGTGCAGGCTGAGGATTTAGGGGGCTCTAAATGGGAAAATGGAGACCCATATTACAAACTAGACCTTCAAATATCTGCCCAAGTTCAGACAAGCCTGCTCCTTTTCTTACTAAACAAATAAGCTCAACAGGAACAAAAAGCTTAAGCCCCCTCAATTGTCTTAAAATGTCTGCCAAAGACTAACACTAGACCCACAGAAGCTAACAGATCATTATTTCCTGTGATTCTATGCAAGAGAACAGAGAAAGTTCTTTTGATCTTGGCATAACAGAGACTGAAACGCTTTAACTTTGATATTCAAAATTCTCAGCATTATAAAACTATAATGCTTATGTATAAAACTATACCTTAACTGAACCAGAACAAATTTGTGAAAATCAGGAGCGTGATAAGAAGTTTTGCAAAAAGAAGTTGAGTCTGGTGCCATTCCCGCAGAAGCTGAAACTTGCTTTAGGTATAAATTCACCTTTTCTGCCTCATGAAAGTTTTCTAACTTTCTAACTTTTGTCATCTTTTTAGAAAATCCCTGCCTTCTGCTCTGTCCTCTTCACTCAGAACACTCATCTGAGTATCATCTTTAGGAAAATAGCAAAAGTGGTAAACCCAAGTCAGTATATTTTTCTGAATTAATTCAGTGTGTCAGTGTGTAACACCACTTAGACAATACAGATTGGTGTGAGCAAAAACACCAAGCCATCGAAATCCCTATTCTGTCTCCACACAACCTGGCCTGTTACTTAACTCTGACAAACCTCAGCTTCCCCATCTGCAAAGGCAGTAAAATAATAACCACACAAAGAGGTTTAAGAAGGCAAGAGAAAATGGTGGCACGATGCTTAACACCAATAAGAGATGTTCCAGAAACCCATACCACTTCCCCTCATCGCAACAGAAGACACAACAGCAGAATTTAAAAACTAAAGACAACAAAAGACTCAGGGCTAAAATGTCCATCCCCGTTTTATGGGGATAAAAGATAACAGGAGGCAGGAAAACTCATGTATTCAAAAACCAACGAGCTCTAGAGCCCTGGTGGCTCTTTCAAAATTTTTTAATCTCTGACCTGGGCTACCTTAAAATCCAGTTCAAACCAACTTCTCTATCTTTGGGGAGCCAGATTTCTTCCAAATCACAATGTGGCGTATATTAATTACAATGTGGTCCCTGGGTGAATATAGACATCAGCATCACCTAGAAGCCTGTTAGAAATGCAGAGGTTTAGTTCTCACCGGGCCTTACACATCCTAATTGTAGCAAGATCCCGGGAGGGATCCAGGTGTGCCTGAGCACCTCCCAGGGCCCCACTTTTAAGATCTGACGAAATCAACTAGCTCCAGAAGAATTTTGCAAATGATATGCTGGGGCTGCAATAGAACATCTCCCTTCTAGCTTTCCGGCTCCATTGAAAATATCCTCTGGCCCCTAGTTGGGATGACCTCAAGGACTTCAGAACACACAAACATATTTTTGTTGCAATAACATCATATGGAGCCAGAGTGATAGAACAGTAGGCAGGGCACTTTCCTTGCATGTGGTTAACCCCAGTTTGATCCCTAGCACCCAAAGCCTATCCTTTTTCTTTTGGGGTCACACCCAGTGATGCACAGGGGTTTCTCCTGGCTCTGCATGGCAGGAATTACTCCTGGCTGTGCTGGGGGGACCATATGGAATGCCGGGAATCAAACCCGGGTCTGCCGCGTGCAAGACAAATGCCCTACCCATTGTACTATCACTCCGGCCCCCACCCCAAGTCTTGACCCTGAGCATCGCCAGGTATGCCCACCCTACAGAATAGCAACATACAAACATAGATAAATAAAAGAAGGTAAGATTAGCATTTCTTTGGGTTTTTTGGATTTGATTTATTTATTTTTGTTTGGCATTGCTTACAACACCAATCTGCAAAGGCCTGGCAGAGGAAATAATCCAGAGTTAGACCAATCCCCAGACTCACAATCTGCCAGGTTCCCTGAAGGAGATTTAGAAGTAGGGGTGAATTCCAGTGAAACCCCAACAGACCTTACAGGAGTCCATCTAAAGGCACTGGGAAACCCCAGCAATTTCATATCCAGAATTTTGTAACTTTCCTCCCTCTAAGTAGACCCCCAAATTTGGTAAACTTCAGCCTTCGCAACACCCAACACCTGATCCTATTTTCCTGTGGGGTCCGACACTGCATAGCCACCTGCGCTGAGACGCACCATTTTGGCCTGATCCTGACGGCGCTGAGGCGGATCTGTTCTTGCAGGAAAGTTGTCCCAGCTGTCCTCCTTCCTCCAGTGGCAGCAACCTGTCTCACATGCTCCCGCTGCTGGGTCAGAAATGACTGCATGACTCAGTGCCCCCCAAACGTTTATTGTCCGGCAAGGCCTTACACAATGCCACAGGAAACCACGCTCAACACTTAGCCAACACTTGTTGATCTGATTGAATGCAACCGAAAACGGAGACAAAAGCGTATTTCGCCAGGGTTCCAACTTTGATAACTCCTGCCCTTCCCAGGCGGCTTTCGGGTACATGTGATAACACTGCCTTTGTTTAGAGAGCTCTACCCTGGAAAAGACAAGAAAATGCCTTGGAAACCCCCTCCTCCCCGCTTTTGGATGCTGACTTCTCTCTCACAAGTCAGGAAACCATGAGGTAATGCCAAACTGCGCAGAGAATGAGCAGTGAAAACTTCAACTCAACACTTGGACAAAGGGAGACCGGAGGATTTATGGGAGAAACTCAGTCAAATGGCTGCAAATGAACACACGGCCACAGCTTCAATGATTACAAAATCCAGAAATGCCAGACCCATGACTATAGACTGTAGCACTGTCCTCCCATTGTTCATCGATTTGCTCGAGCGGGCACCAGTCACCACTGGGAGCTTGCCAGGCTCTGCTGTGCTGACAGGATTCTCTCGGTAGCTTGCCGGACTCTCCGAGAGGGACAAAGGAATCAAACCCAGGTACGCCACATGCAAGGCAAATGCCCTACCCGCTGTGCTATCGCTCCAGCCCATGACATTCTGAAATAAAGTGAACCAATGATAAATCAATTTTCAAATAATGGGGGAAATTCAGACATGGAAAAGTGATAGATTTTGCTCAGGGGTAGTGGAGCAAGATTATAATGAAAGAACATAATTATGACAATAGCAACATCTTTGATTGTATGCATTCCACTGCTTTCTCTGTCACACACTGGTGGGACACAGATAATAACTTAATGACTTATCTTTTTAGCCCTCCAAGGAGAGGGAGGAAAATCATTAACACTGCATTAACTTAATAAGTATGATCTACTTTAGTGTACTTATAACCGTTTGCAGTGCATTGAAATCTTGGGCTGGCAGGAGAGTAAAACTGACTTTCAAAAGAGTTATGCTTTGCTTTCCACAAGTGTGTGTGTGTTGGGGGTGGGTGGAGGGTTGAAAAGGGCAGTTGGTTTAGACAAGTGACCAGTATGACAATGATAATTAGAAATGATCACTCTGGACAAAAACTGAGTGTTGAAAGTATGTCAAGGGATATATATACATGATAACCTTTAACCTATTACAATCATGGCAGAGTCTCCTGCCCCCGCACCTGGCTGTCCTCACCAGGGCCCTTGGGGGGGTCGAGTTTCCCTCCCCGCCACCGCCCCAGCAGAGCCCCAGCAACTGAAGACCTCCGGTACCCAGCCACAGCCATGCCTAAGAGCACTCTCCACATGCTGGGACGAGCCTCACACATGAAGGAACCGGCAGAGGAACCCAGGTGCGCGAGTCCCAGGGCTGAGATCTCCAAGCCTGCTCAGATCGGGACTGGGCCTCCTCCACCCAGATCCCCCATCTTCCAGTAACTAGACAGTTATACCCACCAACTGTCCCCGGTGCCATGTAATCCCATCAACAGCCAAGACCCAGAGACTATAAAACCAAGCTCCCAGACGTGTGACCTCTTATTGTCTAGTTCTTGCTTTCGGAGAACTTAATCACTTAATCACTTAACTTCCTGTTAGTCGTCGATTTGCTCGAGCGGGCGCCAGTAACGTCTCCATTTGTCCCTGTCGCGTGCTAGTGTAGCCCAATGGCATCTGTTCACTCCGGGAACATGAAGGGCCTCAAACCGATCGTTCATGATCAGTTCATGATCGTTCATGATCTTGACGAAGAAGTCTGACCATCTGGTAGGTGGGCGGCCACGCGGTCTGCCACGCGGTCTCTTGACATCCCGTGGAATCCAATCAGTAACAGAGAGAACCTGGCAGGTAATTGAGAGTATCCTGCCCCCATGGCAGAGTCTGGCAAGCTACCCGTGGCATATTCAATATGCCAAAACCCAGTAATAATGATGGATCTCATTCCCCTGATCCTTAAAGAGCCTCCAATGTGGCACTTGCTAAAATCTCAGGGCTAGAACGTATGGAGACATTACTGGTGCCTGCTCGAGGAAATTGATGAACAATGACAGCGATGCAGTGATTGCAAATCATTATGCCCAAAAGGAGAGAGGGTGGAGAGAGAGTTGTGGAGAGGGGGAAGAGAAGGAGGGAGTAAGGGGGAGAGAAAGAGAGCTTGCAATAGAGAAGGCTGGGAGAAGATGGCAGGAGGACATTGGTGATGGGAAATGTGCACTGGTGAAAGGATGGGTATTGTAACATTATTTAACGGAAACCGAATCATGAACAATCTTGTAACTGTCTATCTCACTGTGATTTAATTTTTTCAAAGTTTTTAAGAATTATGATTTTGAGTGAACACAGGACTCGCATCATTTCTACTCATTCATTTGGTCATTAAGTCCACCAGTCTTAATGAGAACTACCATGTGCTGAGCTGGAAAAAACAAGTCAGTCTTCCCGTTGAGGGTGGGGCACCACAAGGAAAGGATTTATTGTAGCAGAGTCTATGAAAACCAATTTTCAGGGCTACTCTTAGATTTCTTTTTGAAACGGAAATTTGGGAAAGAGGAGTCCTTCAAAAGAATGAAGTAGAGGTGAGATCACATCCTGGGAGAAGATATATTGCTGATGGATTCCAAATCTCTCTCCACCCTCTGAGAAGAAAGTAGGCAGACACGGTGGATGACGGAATGACAGAATGTATGAGTGGCACAACTGCTTGGCCATGGCCAACTGAATTAATTCTGCATTCTTCTAATTAACTTTCTTTCCCTCGTGGAGCTTTATGTTTACTCCACTCTTTAGTTATGGTAGCTGGAAGAATACCAATTCTAGAAGGAAAAAAAGTATATACTAAAGTTGGGAAGGAGGAAGAGGTATAATCCTAAAAACAGTTGGGCACAATCTATTGGGTTTCCACCAAGTCTTGGGTTGATGGGAGCAATGAAGTGGTTTCATTCCATTAAGTCCAAATGTGACTGATTTAATTATTTTATTAATTGCATTTCTCGGCCACTTCTCCATTTCATTGGCTCTGTATTTTTAATGCTTTCAATTTAATTCTAGCTCGCTGTGGCTAGTTCCAATATGGGATTTGATTTTTCGATTTGTTCAAATCATACTCTGCATTGTCACCTCTCTGCAGTGAGACCTTGAAGAATTTTTTTCTAAAGCTTGTTTATTCCGCTTTTGAAAGACAGCCAGCTCCAGGAGGGACACAGCGTGGGATCTTTGGACTTAAGATATAAACAAGTTTGTTGACTCAGAGGTGTAGTGCCTACATTTTTCAAATAAGAGAGAACTAGATAGAGTCCATCCTGCATCCGTGTGTGGGCATGAGCGTGGGCATGTGTGAGAAAAAGAGAGAGAAAAAAGAGAGAGAGGAGGAGGGAGAGAGAATGAGAGGAGTTCTGACTTAACAGCTGACCTCTATTTTCCCTCACTTAAAAAATCATTTGGCTCAGCTTACTTTTTTCTTAATTTTTTTATTGCTTTTTGAGTCACACCTGGCGATGCACAGGGGTTACTCCTGGCTCTGCACTCAGGAATTACTCCTGGCGGTGCTCGGGGGACCATAAGGAGAGGGACAAAGGAATCAAACCCAGATACGCCTGGGAATCAAATACTGGGAATTGAACCCGGGTCAGCCACGTGCAAGGCAAATGCCCTACCCTCTGTGCTATCGCTCCAGCCGTTTGTCTTGGCTTTAAACAACATTTATTTATATGCTGTGATTCAAAGTTTCATCTGGCTTCTCTCCTCTGAGTTCCAAACTTGTATTTTGACTCTCAACTTGTGCACTCCATAGTTGGAATATAAAACAAAACATGACAAATTTAACATATCCAAGTTTCTTCTACAGTAATCCTTCTCAGTTAATGGCAACTCTCGTTCCAGTTACTCAGGCCAAATGATGTGTGGTCACCCTCGAATTTGATCCTGCCTTCACACCCAAAATCCAATCAATCCTTCGCAAATATGTTTAGTTTCATGTTCCAAAGATATCCCCATTGCGGTCACTTCTCATCACTTCTACTGCTCCCTAGTGATCTCAGAATCACCCTGTTTAATACTACAACTCCACTCCATCTTGCAATCTCAGTGTCCTTTTTCAGGGTTATTGTTTCACTCTTCCATAACAATTAACACCTTAAAACCTATTATATCATTTCCTTATTACCTTTAGTGTCCTTCTCTCTTTCTTAATGCCCACAAGGGCTTCAACAACTTCTCTCTGCAACCTGCACTTTTGCCCTACGTCTCTTAAATTGGGATGCCACTCCATTAACTCCTTCAGTTTTTCCTTCTAATGTGAAAAAAATCTGTTTGGTATTGGGGTTTGATGTGAATAGTTAGACATCCTAAATTCAAAGATTAGGGAAACCTCCATATTCAACATCAGCGCCTAGGTAACTGTGAAAGTTATTGGGCGAGTGGTGGGTGGAGGTGAAATAAGATGCAAAGGTATGCAGTTTCTTTTTTGTTGTGACCTTTTGTGGCACCTATAAAATCTTTATCTAGCCTCTTTTTCTTGCTTTTTGGGTCACACCCAGCCAATACTCAGGGGTTACTCCTAGCTATGTACTCAGGAATCACTCCTGGCAGTGCTTGGGGACCATATGGGTTGCTGGGAATCGAACCCGGGTCTGCCGCGTGCAAGGCAAATGCCCCACCCGCTGTGCTATTGCTCCAGCCCCTTTATCTAGCCTCTTGACTTTTTAATCAATTTTCCTTTTTAGTGGAACATGGAGTTTGGGGGTCTAGATGTGGCCGACAAACTATGAACGCCACCTGTTTATAAATGTTTTGAAACACAACCATGGTCACAGGTGACTTTTTTTGTTCTACAATAAAAGTGCTGAGTACTTATAACAGAGACTGTAATCCCAGAGAGTCTCAAATATTTGCTATCTGGCCTTCACACACAC